GCACTTATCAGGTAAAACACGGGATGCCCAGTTAAATTGGAGTTCAAGTAGACAATGAACACACACACACACACACACACACACTGCATGGAATTTCTGAAATTCAAATTTAATCTTGTATCCTGTATTTTTATTTGCTGAATGCTTACCCCCGGCTCCCTTCTCCAAATGTCAAACAATCCATGTGTATAATCTTCCAGGAAGAAGAGTGATGTATTTCAACTTTTGAAATGACATCCAATTCAGTGTTCCTAGGATTTGATTTTAGTTCAGTTGTTTTGAGTTATGACTCAGGAGAGCTTGCCTTTAATTGCTTCTGGAAAGCATGCACTTTTTTTTTTCAAAGTGGGGCCTTATATGTGGCCCAGACCTTAAACTTGTTAGGGATGCCAGACTGTCTTTGAACTTTGTGATCTACGGACCTCATCCTCCCCAGTGCTGGTATCAAAGGCTTGCACCACCACACCAGCAAAGGGTGTGTTGTATGCAGTAACCTTAGTGAATTATTTACAAGCGATATTATAAAACCATCTTCCTCTTCAGGAAGAACATTTTGTTGATTTGCTATGTGTACCTTTATTTTGAGATAGCGTCTTGCTATGTAGCCTGGACTGGCCTGAAAGTCCTAGGCTTAACTGATTCTCTGTTGTGTGACGCTATTCCTGGGTGAACAAACATCACTTTTCCCAGATAGGGAACCAATGACACAACAAAGTAAGAAAACTATCAAAGTCTATCTTGGTGAGTGAACCAGTAAGTTCTGTTGGGGTTACTTACAGGAGCACCAATGACTCAAAGACAGCTGCATCACCAAAGCCCACCCCAGCTTGCCTGACACCTCTCAGAAGCTGGAACCCTGAAGTGTACTGCACAACCTGTAGGTTGGAGGGTGTTCTTTCCAGGTAGTTTAATTTGTCTGAGCCTTCTAGGCAGCTCGGCTGGTCTGAGGGTGAGTTTTAACAGTCCTTAGAATTTATATATGCTTGGGGCTATGGGGAGCTAGTTTATCTGGTCAATTTCAGGGGCTTTTTGTAGCTATTGAGTTGTTTATTGCTTAGCTTAACCACCTTCCCTGCAGGATGGAATTTTTCGTTTCCCTAAATAACATCCTGTTGTTTCACCACCCCTTTCGCATTCTGTGTCTGAGCAAGTTTTCTTCCAAGATGGAAGGTTTCAATCTCTGAGGAAACTGCTACAAAACATCCTCCTGCCTTGATCTTCCAATAGTTAGTCTTATAGGAATGTGTCACCACACCTGGTGTGGTGGTTTGAATGAGAATGGCCCTCCTAGGTTTATAGGTTTGAATGTTTGGTTCCCAGTTGGTGGACTATTTAGGAAGGATTAGTAAGTGAGGTCTTGTTGGAGGTGGTGTGGCCTTGTTGGAATAGGTGTGTCACTGGGGGTGGACTTTGAGGTTTCAAAAGCCCACACCAGCCCAGTCTCTGTCTCTTTCTCTCTGTCTCTCTTTCTCTGCCTCTCTCTCTGTCTCTTCCCCCACCTTGTGGATCAAAAGGAAGCTCTCAGCCAATGTTCCAGCTTCGTGCCTGCCTGTTTGTCCCCATGCTCCCTGCCATGATGGTCTTGGACTGACCCAATGAAATTATAAGCAAGCTCCCAGTTAAACAATTTCTTTTATAAGTTGTCTTGTTCACAGTGTCTCTTAATTGCAATAGAACAGTAACTAACACACCAGGCATCCAGTTTTTGTTATATTTTGTTTGAGATAGGATTTCCTTCTGTAGTGCAGTCTTACCTCCAACTCACTGTGCAGTTTAGGATGAACTCAAAACATTTGATCCTCCTTGTCAGTCTTCTGAGTGCTGGGATTACAGGTATAAACTACCTTCCCTGGCTCTCCAGAGATTGTAAAGTACTATCTAGACAGTCTTACTTAACAAATAGGAAAAATTTGCTTTTAGATACTCCATGTTAAAATGAATATTTGGTTTCTAGTATGAATCTTGTTTCCATGTGAAAATTGCATTTTAAAATGGCTGCCTTTGGTTTTCATCATATTGCTGCAGTATGTGGTGTGTGTATTTAAGGGGAGACTGTTTAGACAAGTAAATATTCTTAGATATAGTTATGTCTTTATTGTTGGACATGTTCAGAGCTTGTATAATTTAAAAGATCTCAGTTTGATATTAATTAGTTTCATGCTTTGGATTCTGATTGCTTGGATATTCCTGTTTATTGAAGTATGTGATATTCAGTTACTTAAATATGTTTTAGAATACTCTAGGATCTGGGTGTGGTGGTGTATGCCTTTAATCTCAGCACTTGAAGGCAGGGGCAGAGGGATCTCTGTGAGTTTGATGCCAGCCTGGTATATATAGGGAGTTCCAAGACAGCCAGGGCAATATAGACCCTGAATAAAAAATATTCTAGGGATGTGTGTCTGTATGATTTTGCCTTATGGCAGTTTTACATTATATTATTTTAGCCCATTCTTAGAAGATGGTTGGTATTTTACAAAGCTTTGTTTCTGTGGGACAAGATTTTTTGAATGGTTTTGAAATGTTATGAATAATTATGTTTTGAAACAAAGTGTTTGGGGTATAATACCCGGAGTCTAGTTTCCATTAAAACATATTTTTAAACAAATGATTCAGACCAGCATTGGGCCCAAAGGAGGAACTGAAAGAATACAGGCACCTAGATCTATCTGATAAGGAAATTCTGTGTTTGTGAAACTATTCTCCACAGTGTTAAGAATTTCAACATGATGTTGAGGGCCAGTGTGAATTTTTTTAAAAATGCAATCACTTTGTTGTATTCTAGCTTTACTTTAATTTCTAAATTGATTTAAAGTAAATAGTATGAGTTGAAGTCTCTCTAAAATAACAGAATAGTGGAATAACTTGGAACAATGAATGATTTCATTTGTAGATCAAATAACTGTCAAGAGAAGGCAATTCCTATTAGATTCTCAGTGTATACCTTTTGTAGAATGTAAAGTGCTTATTATGCAAAGGTTATCAGCTAAAGCTGATTTTGTGGGAGAGGGTATGAAAGGTGTTAAAATGTCTGATTCCAAAGTAAAATAACAGTTGGTGATATCTCTGATCACTTTACCTGATTTACCTTCTTTGTGTAATAACTTGATGTGCGAAAGACATGTTGTCAAATATATCATAGGATATTTCTTTAAGAAACTTCAGACTGGCAGGGCAGTGGTGGTGCATGCCTTTGATCCCAGCATTTGGGAGGCATAAGCAGGCAGGTTGCTTTGAGTTGGAGGCCAGCCTGGTCTATAGAGTGAGTTCCAGGATGGCGAGGACTGTTACACAGAGAAACCCTGTCTCAAAAACAAAAACAAAAAGAGAACAGAAAACTTCGGACTTGATGGCTTGGGAGATGGTTTAGTAGTTAAGAGTACTTGCTGCTCTTGCAGAGGATTCTGGTTCTGATACCAGGACCCACATGGCAGTTCATAACAACCTGCAATTCTAGGGAATCAGATGCCTTTTTCTAGGCTTCATGGGCATCAATCATGTACATGCTACACAGACATACATTGAGGTAAAACGCCCATGCATGAAATAAAATAAATACAAAAAATTTAAGGAAATACATTAAGTTTCTAAAATAACCTGAAAACTTCAGAGTTTTCTTCCCTCTTCAAGGTGTGTTTTGGTTGCTGAGGCAAATTTGCAGTACAATTTTTTTGTTTGTTTGTTTTAGTTTTCTGCTTCTCACTTCATTGACAGGTAGGTATGTTTTGAAAATGAGTTATAGAAATAAAAGACACGGGTCTCGTTTGAAAACAGCAGAACATATAGCAGAACTTGTTTTCAATGTCATCTCTACGTGTATAGGTGTGTGTGTGTGTGTGTGTGTGTGTGTGTGTGTGTGTGTGTAGAATTTTTTGAGTCTAAAAAATAGACTGTCTAAAGACAACAAACTCATATTCTTGCTGTTGCTTAATCATACCCATAGTTTAGGGAGTTAATATCTACACTATGATACAGCTGTAGTCACTGTAAGAAACACAATGTTATTTGTAGCTGGTTTTATTGTTTTCCTCTTAGAAAAAGTGAGTGTACTTAGAAAAAAAATACTGAATGACCTGTCAGGATAATTGGCACTGCATTTGTCTTTTTGATGCTGTGTTGAGGAATATTTTCGTATATTTTGGATAGGCAGGTAGGAAATTTTAAGGTCATAGGCTGTTAATGAATCCATTCAATCAAAATGTTTAAATTTCATGAAAGAAGGAAGAGGATTTTACAATCAGAAAGAGGCATCATTCTCCTAACATTCTTTTTTGAGGAGGAGGGGAGATGGTTAACAGCTTGTGGGTATGTGCAAGACTATGGCTTGGGTACCATAGGATAGGATGGTATTAACCAGAAGGAAATGTATAAGAAAATGACAGAAAAAAAATCTAAGGAATGAAGGGCTTCACTGGAAACCAGGACAAAGGAACAAATTATAAATGATTTGAGAAAGAGGGCTTAGAAATTAAGTTACACATTTCTAAAAGTAAAAGGGCTTAGAAATTAAGTTACACATTTCTGAAAATAGTGTCCAAAACAGAAGACTTACTTTTAACTCTTTTAATCCCCTAAAGGACTAGAGACAAAGTGGATGGGTTATTTACCTCTATTGTGTGCCTAGAAAACAGGGTAAATGGAGGTCAGGGTGGGAAAAGCTAGTTTTCTTACTGTAAAGTGTCTTCTCAAGATGAGCTTGTAGCCTTGCTGTCATTTTCCAGGGGATCTTTGTTCTCTGACAGCTCAGTGGAGATCACATGATCTTCAATTCGTATCTCAAATATTGATATCAAGTAATCACATAATCTTTCCCAATAATGATTATGAAGTCATCATATTTTGATGTCTGTATCCTAGTAAAAATATATTATACAAGTAAGCATTTCACCTTTTAGTATGTAATAGGTCTTAATTTCAGTGTTACTATGTGTATTAAGTTATATTTTACCTTGAAGCTCTAATTTAGACTAAATTTTTTTTTTTTTTTTTTTTTTTTTTTTTAGGACAGCCAGTAGAGGGGACTTCATGTTTTCTGCGGATCGTTTGGTAGGTGGAGGCTTTCCATTTTCATTTCATTGTTGCACATAGTGATATAATCCTGGTGGGCCAGGGGGCTTTTTGTTGTGGAACATTCTGGGGTTAAGAGAGATTGCACTGAGTAACCATCGTCTTGCTAGGCTTTTGAAGTGTTTTTTCCACTATAGCAATAAAGCACTGCCTCACTCCCTTTTACTCCAAAAGCATGGCCTATGAATCTATTCCTTGTCATTCTTAGATGAATTGACAGTCTGGTTCTCAGCAACTCATAAAATGCCTCATCTTAGGGCAATGAATTGAAGCACATTAGAAGAAAACTAACTATGTTCTGAGACCTAGCATTCATCCTTGTGTTTCAGCTAATGTGCAAAAACTACTGTATTTTCTTTTGTAGTTTACAATGTGAATTGTATTTGTTTTGATTCTTCCCTGTGATACATTCACAATATGAAATTCTAAGTTGAACGGCATACCCCTTCTTCAACGGTATCCTATTAAGTCCTGACCAAACCCAATCCTTATATAGTCAGTGTCATCTCAGATGATCTCAGGCTGAATTGCTTTGCCACAGCTTTTCATTATTGTGTTGATACCTAAGTGTGCTTTATTCTTGGAATGAAATTGACAATTAATTGCTAAGACTAATACTCTTCATTAATGAAAATTAATACTGGGTACATATTAGATAATGCACTAGACTATTTTGGGAGGGAGGAGGTAAGACAGTTAGGAATATAGGTATGGTCCCTGCTCTTGTGGAATTTACAATCTTAACACTGTTGTCATACTTAGCTTAGGAAAGAAATGTGGCTTATTAACCTTGTGGGTATAATCAAATCATAGAAAATAGGAAAGGAAATGTGAGAAAAAGGCAAAACTTTTAATTTTGATTTTTTTTCTAGAGCATATATTCTAAGAGTGTAGGCAACTCCTCTTCCGCTTTTGGCTTTAAATATTCTTGGTTGAGAGACCCAATTCTATTTAAATTTATTTTGGTTTCCATGGATAGTAATAACTGTTGGTAGCAGCAAGAGAAATATGGTTGACATTCCTGGGGCAGTAGCCATTGTCTTTCATGTTTTCTTCTGTGTGTGTATGTGTGTGTTCGTGGAGGTGCATGTGTGTGCTTGCATGTAGAGGTTAACCTTGGGTCTGGAAGCCAGAGATCAGATTAGGGTGCTTCTCAGGAGCCATGTAACTCATCTTTTATTTTTCTGATGAGATTTCTTACTGGGATCTGAGGCTTGTCAGTTAGGCTAGGCTGGCTGTCCATTAAGCCCTCCAGAGATCCTCCTGTTACTAGGTTATAAAGTGTATGCTACCACTTGGCTTTTTATATGGCTTCTAGAGATTGAACTTAGGTGTTCGTGTATATAAGGCAAGGCCTAATCACCAACTGAGTCATATCTTCAGCCTTTTATGTTTTCAGCAAAAACCAACCAACCAAACAAACAAAAAACAAACCCAGTTTTGAGGCATTTTAAAGTCCCACCTGAATGGCTGCTGAGCAGAGAGTAGGAGTCTCTGTTCACTGGTGCAAAACTGTTCATCTTCCTTTCGTTTCCTTTGTGCCCTCTTGCCCGCTTGCCTGCCTGCCTGCCTGCCTGCCTTTCTTCCTTCCTTCCTTCCTTCCTTCCTTCCTTCCTTCCCTCCCCCCTCTCTCTTCTTTTTGAGACAATCTCTTTTTTCCAGAATGGTCTCAAAATTCTGGACTAAAGCATTCCTTCTGTCCCACCTTCCCAAGTAGCTAGGAGCTACAAGCCTAACGACAAGTGCATATGTTTCTTTTTGTTATAGAAAGTAGGAGCCAAGTTTATGGATGTTCTAAAGTGCTTCTCTGAAATAACAGGCATTATATCCTAGCCAAATGAGATATGTGGCATACTTCACCTAGGATATGGTAATTTGGCTTTGTGGTTGCCTTTGAAGGACCAGTGATGGTGTGGGGTTGTGGGGAGTCTGTTGTGGTTGTGGTATTTATATATTTTTATTGTTGAAGATTTCTAGTACACCATCTCCTCAACACAAGGATCCCACCCCTGATAGTGGGCAATTGATGTTATCCTGAGTTTGTCAAGAGTTGCTTCCTACAGTTCGCACATTTATTTTTGGGAGAGAGTGATGAATATTGAGCTGAGGGCCTTGAGTGTACTAAACACATGCTGTACCACTGAACTACACCCTGCCCTTGAAAGAGATTTTAGTCATTCTTCTAGTTTTTGCTCTCCTCTAACTTAGACACACTAATCTCCACACCTGTGTTTATATATTTTTATTTATTCTTTGAAAATTTCATATATGTACTTTCTATATCCACTCCTAACTCCTCTCAGATTCTCCCAGTCAACTTCATATGATCTTTCTTTTCATAGCCCACTGAGTCTAATTGATGCTGTATACATGTCCCTGGGTGTGAGACCATCCACTGGAGTATGGTCAACATTTCAGGGGCCATACCGCTAAAGAAAACTGACTCTCCCTCCTTCAGAAGCCATCAACTGCCAATACAATGGCCAATAGCTCCTCAATTGGGGTGGGGCCTTGTGAGCTCCCCCACCCCAAGACTATGGAGTGTTGATTGGCTTGATCTTGTGCCTGTCTTGTATAAGCAAATACAGCTTCAGTGAGTGTGCAACGGCCCTGCCATGTCCAGAAAACAATATTTCACAGCAGTCCTTTCCAACCTCTGGCTCTTACAGACATGATAATTTCTGGCTAATGTCTCAGAGTTTCAGGGGATGGAGCAGGAAGCAAGGCTTGTTTGAGGTATGTCACTAGAGGAAAGAGATACGGGCTTTTCAAAGAAAAAAATCTTTCCTGTAATTTTCTCTTCAGTAAACATAAATAGCCAAAGAAGGTGGTAGCTAGCAGTGAGTGTGCTCTTGCATACACTATTCAAAAGGTTTCTGGGCCCATTCTCAGATTCTGCAGGGGGACAAAGTGATGGGCCATTTCCTATTGATCCTTTTAATGGCAGCAGGGTGATGTGTTGTGATAACAGAGAATGAAGCATCGTACTTCTCCCTGCTGTTCCTGATTCTCAATCATTAATGTAATATTGATTGAAGAAAATGT